GTCCAAAATGTACCGATAATACCTAAACCAGTCCAGAAAAACGCACTAACAGTCCTAATCCGGGTTTAGGAATTTTACTCACTTAATCCGAGGTCACGACGACGGGGAACGGCGGCCGATCACTGGTGAACAGTGAAACCGGCGGCGGAATTCCCGGCGACGCGTGAACAGTGACCCCGTACGGGGGGACGGGATGAACAGTAACTTCCGTACGGACTGCTACAGTACTCCCGTACGGACACTGTACGGACAGGTACGCCCGGCGTCGTGCGGCGAGGCTGGACAGCTGGGTGGTGACGGAACAGCGATCCGAGCTCCGGCGAAACCCTGGTGGCTCTTTTTGCCGGACAGGAAAGAGAAAAAGAGGGAGAAAGAGAGAGAAAGGGTCGGCCAGGGCAAGGCTGAGGCTGAGGGGGCTGAGGTGGTCCACGGCGGTGCACGGTGGTCGGCGGCGGTGCTTCGGTGGCCGGCGACGAGCTCCGGCGAGCCAAACAAGAGAGGAAAAGAGAGAAAAATGGGGGAGAAAACTGAAGAGGGGCTGCTGGGGGTGTTCTGGCCGTGAGTGAGGGTGAGAGGAGAGAGAGAGAGAGAGAGAGAGAGAGAGAGAGAGAGAGAGAGAGAGAATCTTATCTGGTCAAACATGGCAGCCTAGGGGCGACACGTGTCGCAAATTCGACGGTTTTGACCAAAATATCCCTAATCTAACGGTTATAATTTAATCTTATCCAAAAATGAGGGGAAAAAGGGTCAATAGGGCCAATAATTGAGCTGATAACCCTCCATAAATATCCTGAAATTTTCCCAAAATAATTCGGAACTGAAAACGGCCCAGGGGCAAAACCGTCATTTTTCCGGTCCAGGGGCGAAATTCCAATTTTCGCAATTACCAACCCTCCATGAGCGTGGCCAACATAATGTGGCGTCAGAATCGCGAAATTCACTTTCTAAACCCTCGAAAATCGACTGCGAAGTTCCGGGAATAAAATAATATTATTTTTTCAATTTTTGTCGAAATTCTAATTTTTGGCCATAACGACTCCTGGTATGCGTGGCCACCCAAAAATGGCGCCGGCCTCGAAAAATAACCTCATTTGGCCTCGAAAAGCAACGCTGGCGTCCCGAGGGGCAAAATCGTAATTTTTCACCCCCGGACCGAAATTCCAATTTTTACTCGTACTAACTCCAAACGTGTGTGGCCAGCATAATATGACGTCAGATTCCCAAAAATAGTCTCTTAAGCCTTCGAAAATCGACATCGAAATCCGGGCCCAATTTCGTGATCAAAACTCGCTCGAGTTTCAATTTCAAGGTCTCTGGCTAACGGGCGGCTGTTTAGGACATACGCGTATCGACCTAGGGTTATTCGAATTACGACGGTCCCGATCATTGAGAGAATGAGAAATTATCATTAGTTCTAAAGGTCACGATCGTTCGGTTCAGGTTCAGGACTGGTTGGCCACGTGCACTTTCGGTCTTGCAGAATCACCTGCGATCCGATTGTACATCGTTGGCCTTGGCCAAACCAAATCCATCACCTTTCCTAAGATCGGCCCACGTTGGCCCAAAATATTCACTCATCGTATCTCGAGATCGGTGTCCCGTTCACTATCGAGTCCCTGGTCCACGTACCGTTTCCTAGTTAGCCATACCCCATTGGTTAGTATCCCGAGAGTGATCAGCTTTGGGCGAGACTTACTTAAATGAAATGCGAAATATTGTCAATTTTATTGATCCCGGAATTACGTCGAAATTCGGGCTGTTACATTGAATTTTGTGGGAATCGTTGAATAAGATGTATGGACAAGCTCAGAATGCATCGCGGGTATTCAAATTGCAGTAAGAGATTGCTAACTCAAAGCAAGAGTCCTCTCAATCTTTCACCAACCATCTTGGAAGTATGAAGAGAAGGTGGGATGAGCTTTGTCTGTATAGGCCAGCAACCCAAAGTGTGGCTGATTACATTTGACAGGAAGAGCAAGATCGCATCTTCTAGTTCATGGCCAGCATTCGGCCTGAGTACGAAGACATGAGAAGACAAATTCTGATGAGCCCGAACTTGCCTACGTTTGATGAAGTCTGTGGCTTGATTCAAGGAGAAGCGACGAGGCGTCGAGTGATGAGTGTCTCGCCTAGTCTTGATAAACCAATCTCTGAAAATTCAGCTCATAATGCTGTGATGAACAACCAACGTGGTGAATCTGTGACGAAATTGGTGAAGGGAAAAAAATAAAAGGCCCGTTCGATTTCATTGTGACCATTGTGATAGAGATGGTCACTCCAAAGATAGGTGTTGGGTACTCCATCCTCATCTTCGTGCTAACAAAGATAAGGTTCAAGAAGCAAAACTTGCTGTTCCAGGAAACTCTACAGAGTTTCAGTCGAAACTGGAGTCCTTGGCACAATAGTTTCAACAACTACTTCAAATGCAAGGACAGAGGGTGATTGGTTTGGGATCTTCTGGTCCTTTATCAGATTCGGCCAATATGGTTAAGACATTGGGTACTGCTTTTTTAACCCAATCTAGTACTCAATTCATCATAGATTCGGGAGCTACCGATCACATGTGCAGCTTTGCAGATTTACTTTTTAATGTCTCCTCAAGTGCCTAGCTCGTATCCACCCATTACTATGGCTAACGGAATGCAAGTTCCAACGCAATGGGCAGGACATCTTATGTTGTTCTCACAGAATTCTGATGTTTTGGTTGTACCTAATTTGTCTTCTAATTTACTTTATGTGAGCAACTGCACTAAAGAATTAAATTGCAACGTTGTCTTTTCTTCTTCAAAGGTGTTGTTTCAGGATTGCAACACCAAGAAGACGATTGGTGAAGGACAGCTGCAGAATGGTCTCTACGTCCTTGACTGTCATACGAATGCCTTGGTGGCAAGGAAAAATGCGATGGAACTTCAAGGCTGTGGCACATGGGCATGGGTCATCCTTCTGAGCGTGTGCTGCAAGCTATTGATAGAACTTTATTTCATAATTGTAGTGCTTGTGACTCTTGTCATTATGCTAAACAACACAGATTACCTTTTCCTCAAAGCTCTAATTTAGCTTATGAGGTGTTTGATTGAGTACATTCGAATGTCTGGAGTGCTCCAATTGATTCAAGAGATGGTTTTAAGTATTTTGTTTCTTTTATTGATGACAAATCGCGAGCTACTTGGCTATACCTTCTCAAAGCTAAAAGTGATGTGGTCACTGTTTTTCAAGAATTTTGTAGCATGATTCAGAATCAGTTCAAAACATGCATAAAGGTCTTACGCACTGATAATGGCACAGAATATTCCAATCAGACCTTCCAATCTTATTTGAGCAGCTTGGGCATTATTAATCAAACTTCATGTGTAGATACACCTCAATAGAATGGGGTGACCGAGCGAAAGAATTGGCACCTTCTTGAGGTGACTCGAGCATTATTATTTTTTGGAGGCATGCCGAAGACTTATTGGAGCGATGCTGTTTTAACTAGCTGTTATATTATTAATCGACTTCCTAGTCATGTTTTGGGTTACAAGATGCCTATGGAAATCCTTTACGGGTGCAAACTAAGTATCTTGCATTTGAGAGTTTTTGGGTGTGTCTGTTATGTGTACTCTCGAAGTGGTGGTAAGCTTGACCCACGCGCTAAGAAGTGTGTGTTTATGGGCTATTCATCAACAAAAAAGGGGTACAAGTGCTTTGATCCAACCACTAGGCGGATGTATATATCGCATGATGTTACATTTGATGAATCTACTATGTTTTTTTCATTCCAAGAGTCCAATTTGGGGGGAGTACAATGAGTTGGCAGTTGAATTAGCTCCTATTCCTATGGTGGATGAGTTGACCAATGGCCCTGGAATTGGAAGTAACCCGCGAAATGCCCCCGAAGGAATAGATGAGACCGAAGAAGTAATCAGCAATAACAGCCCTGAATCAATGCCCACACCAAGGACAGCTTCAGATGGGACAGCTACCGAATTGGTTCCCATTGCTTCTGAACCTATTCTTGCAGCTCCAGATCTTGTTCGGAGATCTACCCATGTGTCTAGACCCTCAACACGACTTCGGGACTTCACCAGTTATCACGCGGTACAGTATCCCATCCAGAATCACATTGGCTATGACAAGTTATCTTCTAGTTTTGTTGGTTTTTTTTATCTATTCTTAAAGAGACCACAGAACCTAATAGTTTTGAGGAAGCTAGTAAGCAGCATGTATGGGTTGAAGCCATGAAAGATGAGCTACAGGCGCTTGACAAGAATAATACTTGGGATGTAGTTCGCTTGCCTGATGGAAAGCGCACTGTTGGGTGTCACTGGATTTATAAAGTTAAATATAATAGTGATGGCTTGGTAGAGAGGTACAAAGCCATGTTGGTTGCTAAGGGATATACCCAGACTTATGGTATTGACTATAAGGAAACTTTTGCTCCTATTGTAAAAATGATGTCAAGGTTCTTATGTCAGTTGCAGTCAATTGCGAGTGGCCCTTATTTCAAATGGATGTGAAGAATGCATTCCTTCATGATGATCTCGAAGAGGAAGTTTACATGAATCTTCTGCCTGGGCACCGCTTACAAAGAGAAGAAGGGATGGTGTGTAGACTTAGGAAGTCTATATATGGACTCAAACAGTCCCCCCGGGCTTGGTATGGAAAACTCAACACCTCTCTTCTTAAGTTTGGATATAACCGGGGAGCAGCAGATTCCTCTATGTTTACCAAGGTTGATGAAAATGGTCCTGTGGTACTACTTGCATATGTTGACGATATTGTCATCACTGGGAGTAATCAGTCAGGGATTGATCCACTCAAAACTCAGTTGCGCCAGGAGTTCAATATTAAAGATCTTGGATGACTGAAATATTTCTTGGGTATTGAAGTGACAAATTCTAGCAAAGGTCCTTACCAAAAAAAAAAAATTCTAGCAAAGGCTTATTCCTTTTACAACGAAAATATGTTTTAGATCTATTGAAGGAGACTGGCAAGATAGGTGCAAACCAGCTAGTGTTCCTATGGACTACAGCAAGAAAATGGTTTCAGATGACTTTCCTTTGCAGGATGTGGGTCGATTTCAGTGTCTTATTGGCAGACTGATCTACTTAACTATTATCAGACTTGATATTACTTATGCTGTTAGTTTCGTGAGTCAGTTCATGCAAAATCCTACACAAGGACATATGTGTTTAGTTGATTATCTGCTGAGGTACTTAAGGGCCACACCAGGGAGAGGTTTATTGATGAAGAACAATGGTCATACAGAAATAGTTGGCTATACGGATGCAGATTGGGCTAGAAGCCCTCATGACCGAAAGTCCACCTTTGGATTTTGTATGTTCGTAGGAGGTAATGTTGTCACATGGAAAAGTAAGAAACAATCTGTGGTTGCTCGGTCAAGTGCTGAAGCTGAGTATCGAGCAATGGCATCCACTACTAGTGAAATCGTTTGGCTACGACTGCTACTTCAGGAATTGGATTGTAGGCCTTCAAATTCACCTACGAAATTATTTTGTGACAACCAGGCCGCTACTCACATTGCCTCGAACCCCGTGTTTCATGAAAGGACTAAACACATTGAGGTGGACTGCCATTTCGTATGGGAAAAGGTTCAAGACAAAACCATTGAGACAACTTATATCCAGAGTGGAGAACAATTGGCGGATGTGTTCACCAAAGCTCTTCCTAAGGGGCCATTTCAAGATATAGTGAGCAAGTTGACCTTTGATGATATTTTCGCTCCAACTTGAGGGGGAGTATTGGCGTGATTGGTGCCGATCTTCCTATTTGGGAGGTTGGCATGATTGGTGCTGGTCCTCCTTTTTTTTGGGAAGAAATTATGTAAATTTGTTTGATTTCTGTAATTCTAGGGAATTGCCTATTTTGGCTTTAGATTTTCTCATTGTCTTCCTTTCCTATACTTCATCATTAAAATGGCAGTCCCTCTCTCAAAGACGATATAACAAAAAAACTTTGAGGGAGGATTACCCGAGGACGTAGGCACATTGCTGAACCTCGTTAAATCGTGTCTTCTTGTCTAATTTCTACATCGGTCGCCGGAAATCTGACGTGGTTTTATTTTATTAATTTCTCAGTCATACATGGCTTGTTGGTGACCTAGTCAGTATATAACCCCTAAAAACAACGTTATGTAGATGGTTTGCCCCAAAATAAGAACCCTCAATTGTGAAATTGATCCAAATTCTCAAATTGAAAACCTAATCACCATTCCACTGAGAATCGAAACCCTAATTTGAGTTACCCCAAATTAACATTCGAATCTTGCAAATGGAGAGCGGGAGCTTCACGAGCGACTCAAATCCATTCCAACAAAGTGAAGAAGTTGAACATTACTGTTTTTTTTTTCTATACTGTAGGAATGACGAAACAGGAATGCTTCCAAGCTTAAACATGAACTACTCGTCTATGGCGCCGTAACAAAACTTCCACATTGAGAACACCAATTTGAGTTTGGATGACTCCATCATGCCATTAACACAGCGAGCAAGCCTTTAGTTATCAAATATGGGCGAAGGAGACGAGGTTAATGAGGAAGAAGGCGTTGCATTCTTCCTAGATCTGGAAGAGGAGTTGAAGGCAGAGGAAAGAAGGAGCTGAAACCCAGATCTGGAATATTTAAGTGATTCTGAAAGTCTGAAGCTTCACGAGCGGCTCGCAACAATGGCGACTAAGCGAGCGACGGTGAGTGAGCGATGAAGAGTTCCCTGAATGAAAAAGAGCGAATCCTTCCCGTGCTACGTCGTGTTGCCTAGACTTGGTACGACGTCGTTTTGCTTTAGGGAGCCATGTAGGATTGTGCGACGTCGTTTTAGACGTCCACATGGATTAGAATCTTAAAAAAATATGACAAGTCAGATAAAGCTTTTATTTATAAAAGCCACGTAATCAATTTGGTCAGAATTTTTCGCCGATGGCAATTAAGAAATCGTTTTTTCTCCGATTTGGCACTTAAGTGAGCCAACGGAAACTTTTGACACTAAAGTGAGCGCCGTACATAACTTTTGGTACTTCTAATGTACTTCTCCCCCCAACAAGAGTAATGTATAAGCTTGACAATTTGAACTATGTACGAATGAATATACCGATCAGGGCCATCAAATGGATGGGTCAGGTTGGGTCGAGTCGAAAAAGGTTCGACCTAAATTGACCCATATATATGCAATACAAATTTAGTGACAATACACAACTCGACCCAACCCGACCCATTTACTGATATACTTACATATCTAATCCATCATATGAAAATCCGTATCCACCTAATTAACCCACTTTAAACTCTTCATGTGTATATGCTATTTGGATGAAATAACTATTTTGACTATAAGATGCTCAATAATTGGCTTTCAACATTGCATAGAATTTTCAAATCTTTGTATCAATTCACAATGAAGATTTAGAGAAAGTTAATACTTGGTAGTGAATTTATAAAATTACAGCAACAAATAACATGAAGGAATTGAAATTTTAATAAAATGGAATGTACGATATTAAAAAAGATGATTTATGCTGATCATGGATTGCAATGACAAGAACTAAGATTAGAATATTACGTTAAAATAACAATGCAATATGTAATCACGGAAAGATATACTACATATAAAACTTACAAGATTAATAAAAATAAAAAAAATTCGCCTTGATATTTTTTATAAGGGTGAAGTCGGGTCTATCTTGTCGGCACCACTACAAAAAAACATGAATTTTGTGACAGAAATTTGCGACGGAAATTTTTCGTCGCTAATTTGCGACAAACTTTGCGACGGATTTCTAATTCCGTCGCAAATTTGCGATGGTAAATTTTCGTCGCTAATTCCGTCGCAAATTAGCGACGACTAATTTTTCGTCGTAAATTTGCGACGAATTTTGCGACGGATTTATTTTCCGTCGCTAATTTGTGCAACGAAATTTACCATTTTGCGACGAAAGTAGAGACGAATTGGATGATTGTCACAAGTTCAAATTCAAAAGAGATTGGACGATTTGCTACACGTCCAATTCTAAGAGAGATTAGATATTACAAATTCAAATTAGATAAGAAGATCTATTATAAACTCAAGATATTAGATAATCTCTTAAAATGTTCTCGTCCCAAATAAGCTTTTTTAGATTCGATAGGTGCAAATCTTATCTTCTTTTTTTTCAAGACTTAGATATATATAACACAGATATCTATTTAGTTGAATATGGCGGTTTCCTCCGCACGTAGCTCTTATGTATGCGTAAATATATGGGTAAATAAATTATAGCAATTTTCAAATAGATCGGAATCGGGTGGATGTATGAAATGTAAAGTCAATGTATCTATATGGGGATATCTATAGGAGATTATATAAAAGAGATATTCTTATTTAGACCTAACCAATTTGATCTAACTAATTAGATGAATTATTCCTAAAGGGTTACATCCGAATGAGTGAATAGAGGGTATGCATTCTATTAGAGAAATATTTAGAAGATTCCATATATTTTCTTTAATTGATTGTAATTGATATTTTCCCTTTTAGATAGTCATCCTATAAAACCGGTAAATAGGTTCGTATACTCTTCATTTGACAATAATATATATATATATTGCTCTTAATTTTTTTTATCACATTCTTGACTTGGTATCAAAGCCCTATTGTTATTTGAGAAAGCGTCAATCGAGTCTGTTTGTAACAACGACATCCACATCAGTCATGTTTCTCCATAGTGTTCGTAATGCTAGTCACATCGGCCCATTTCGCAACAACCTCCCGTAGTTGTTTGACATTCCTCCGCTGCTCTAATGAAAAAAAAAAAACATCACCAGACTTGCCGCCCTTAGACGAATTAGATCATGACATTTACTAATTCGTCAAATATGAGTAATGTGTCATTGTAAGAAGCATATCTACTCAAGGTTCCGACGGAATTAGCGACGGATTCGAAAAATTGATCGGTATAAACATTTCCGTCGCTAATTCCGTTACAAATTAGCGACGGATTTGAAAAAATGGGCGCCATGTGCCGCGAAGATCACTTCCGTCGCAAATTTACGACGGATTTGAAAAATGCCCTTTATTTTTGGAATCCGTCGCAAATTTTAGCGATGGATAAAGAAGTCCGTCGCAATCGCTAAAATTTGCGACGGACAAAGAAGTCCGTCGCAAATTTCGAGTTCCCCGCCCTTACTCCCAATTTGCCCGCCCTCTCCCCCCATTCTCTCTTCCGCTTCTCATTCTCCTTCTCCTTCTCCTTCTTCCGTCTCCCCCACACCCCCAGACCTCTCGCGCTCGCTAGGGTTTTCGGTACCCCCTTCCCCCCCCCCCCCCGCGCTTCCTCCCACAAAGAAGCTCTAGCAAGTAGCGATTCGACCCGCACGCGAAGTAATTGGGGGCGAAGGACGGACGGTGGTCAGAATTCGTCGCGAGCTTTGCAGGGAAACGCGGGCAGCTTCGTCCCTGTAGCTCATTTCGTCATCGTTTCGATATTATCCGCTTCGACACGTCTATGAAGATACACCGAGGAGGGGGTTGGAGGGGGGGTTGGCGGCGTTTGATTCTCTTTTTTGTTTTTTGGTTTTTGTTGTTGAGTCCGTTGTGTATATAAGGAGCTTTCGATTCGTGGCCCTTTCGTGTGGGGGGGGGGGGATTTGAGGATTTGTCTGGCGCCAAGTCCGGCGGGGGCGGTCGTCATCAATTAGCCAAGGAGCTGTCCGTTCTTCACCTTATCGCCATTGGTAATTGCTGAATCGAACTGAAGTTCTTCCCCTTTTTCCTTTTTTGTGGTTTTGTTGGTGTGGGTGGATCTGTGGTTTGGTTCTTTGGCCTCTTTTTGTGTGGTCGATGGTGTTGCTGATGGCAAAATTGTTTGTTGCTCGCGTTACAATGTTCCCTATTGGCCGTTGGAACTCGGAAGCTTTGTTTTTTTTTTGAGATGAGGCTGATCGAACTTGACATTCCCTGATTGATGAAGTTTTTGGAGTTCGTTTCATGGTGCTCTTTGCGCTTGAAGATGATTTGCTCTTCAAATATCTTCTTCGTGGACCGATTTACTCTTTCTTTTTCATTCACGATTAGCAATTTCTGGTCTTTGGTTCTTTTTTCAGTTTAAAAGTCACTGAACTTAGCATTGACCGTATTATTTTCCCTGTACATGACGGCGCCTCTTATGTAGTTATTTGGCCTATTCTTTTGCATCATTCCTATTTATTATCGAAGGTCTCAGTAGCTTACTTTGGACTTTATGTTTTGGTAAGGGGTCGGATCTACGATCGGAGCTGGAGTTTACATTCTTGTTGGGACAGTTGCTAGAGAGCATTCTAGACCGGCTCTCACCTTCTCGTTCTTGATAGCTGGAATTGCAGCAGCTCTTTCAGCCTTCTGTTATGCGGAGCTTGCAAGCCGTTGTCCATCTGCTGGGAGCGCGTATCATTATTCATACATATGTGTCGGAGAAGGGTAATACTTTGTAGAACTTTTTTGAGAATTATTCAGGTCGCGGATAATCTTTAATCGAGGCTGTGTTTGATTAGTAATTTCTCTTTTCACCCTTCCTGAATTATGATGATCAACATTTTTTCCTTCTAATCTCGACTGCTTTCGTTTGTATGAGTTGGCTTTGACTGTGTTGAAATTGAATTAGATAACTAGACTTGCATCCACCTTTTTAAGAGTTCTATTGTTTGTTTGAACCATCATCTCAACATGGCTTTTTGCTTGACAGTGTTGCTTGGCTGATTGGTTGGGCGCTGATACTGGAATACATAATTGGTGGCTCAGCTGTAGCTCGTGCCATATCTCCTAACCTGGTCAGGATTTTGTCATGAATCAATGAGTTTTGCAGGATTTCCTAGCAAGTTCAGATAGGGTGGCTTTGTGTCCTTTTTCGTTCATAGTTTAGACTGCTTTTCTTCCGAGATGAGGTTTATTTTCTTTTAAGATTTTGTGGTGTTGGTAGCTTGATGGATTCCACTTTGGATAGTTAAGGATTACGAGTTATTTTAGCACATTCCAGCATTGTATTTTGCTAACCGCAAAGTACTTCCATAAGGAAAGATTTCTTGGTTTTTATTTTTAAATGTCGGTGCTTTTATATTTGACTTTGAGATCGATTTTTTCTAGGCATTGCTCTTTGGTGGAGGGGAGAGTCTTCCTGCGTTTTTAGCTCGTCAGTACATCCCTGGGCTTGATATAGTGGTAGGCCCATGTGCTGCAGTTCTAGTAATTGTCGTTACTGAGCTGTTATGTGTGGGAATTAAGGAGGTAATCCCTCTTGTAGATTTATTTGATGTGGAAAGTGCCTTTACGAGCTAGTATCTATTGTGATTGTTGGTCTTGTGCCTTACTTTGCAATGGACCCTGACACCTCCATCTCCTCTGCATTTGCAAGCCATGGGATGCATTGGGCAGTGTAAGTGTATAATTTGTATCAAAGTGGTTGTGGCAGCTTCTCCTTTTGTTGGGGATGACGGATGTGCACTCAGAATTTTGTTTGTGATGCTTGCTTATTTCGTTGCAGGTACATAATCACAGCTGGAGCTATTACTGCTCTCTGGTCCACACTGATGTGCTTTGTAAGTGCAATCCTTTTAATTTTGGATGTGATATTTTGGCAATGTAGGTATATCACTTTCTTCTCTGAGTTTGTGGGACTTTGAGTTTCCCTTGCTTTTGGGAATTTTATGGTTTTAATTAAGAATATTAAACAGTAGATATATTTTGTTTGGCAGTCAGGTTAGTTATTATGTGTTAATGTGCGGAGGGGGAGATTTGCCAAGGATGGTCTGATTCAGTATTGCATTGTATGTCAACAAGTGAATGTCACTTCTTTGGAGGAGGTGATGAAGCACTTCATGCAAACCTTATAGGAGAAAGCAGACCAGGCGCAAGATTGGAAGGATCTTTTCATATCTATCGGGGATAAGCTTTGCTTCAGCTTCTTCTGTGCCAGAAGTGCAGTTGGCACAATATGTTCCTGCCCTCGAAAGAATTGCCACCTTGAGGTTGCTTAAGTAGGTGCTTTAATATGCAAGATTATTTATTCTCTCATTATGTGTACTATAAAAAAAAATATTTATCGTTTTTGTAGAAAATGTAGATGAATGTATTTCATTTTCATATTATTATAATATTTTGATGTTATTAAGTGCTTAATCAATGTTAAATATAAATTCTAGAAATTAATTTTGTTGTTAATAGATTTAAAATTGAAATCGTCCCTAAATAATATTTGTCGCGGAGTTCGTCACTAAAAAATTAATAAAAATTCGTCGCTAAATTCATTTCGGAACAATGTTCGTGGCAAAAGTTAAAATTTTTTGCGGCAAATTAACGACGAATTTTGCTACGAATAAGTTCGTTGCAAATTACTGACCAAAAACAAAAAATTCGTGGCAAATTAGCGACGAATTTTTTTCGCAAAATTCGTCGCTAATCTCTTGTTTTTTTGTAGTGGAATTTCGTGACAAATTTTGCGACGAATAAAGTTCGTGGCTAATTTGCGGCGAATTATTTGCGACGAAACTTGCGACGAAATTTGCGACTATATTTGCGACGAATTTTGCAACGGATAGTGTTCGTGGCTAATTTGCGACGAATTTTTTTCGCAAAATTCGTCGCTAATCTCTTATTTTTTTGTAGTGGAATTTCGTGACAAATTTTGCGACGAATAAAGTTCGTGGCTAATTTGCGGCGAATTATTTGCGACGAAACTTGCGACGAAATTTGCGACTATATTTGCGACGAATTTTGCGACGGATAGTGTTCGTGGCTAATTTGCGACGAATTTTTTTCCGTCGCAAAAATTTGCGACGACCTATTAGCGACGGAATTTTTTCCGTCGCAAATGCGATTTGCGACGGATTTTGCCTTTTTTTTCGTCGCTAATCCGGCGTTTTTTTGTAGTGCACATTAAAACTTCTCTGAACTTGGAATAGTATGAGGAGTTAATTATTTTCTCATAAAGGGTGAAATGAAAATCACAAATGTGGGTTGAGTTTGGTTAAACTGTGAACCCATATGACAACCATATATTTTGGGGTTTTGCTATTCTAAACCCATTTATAAACTATTTATATAACATCCATCAAAGATGAGTTAAGAAATGGGTTTATCATATATTTTAACCAATCTGATCTGCCAATCATGTCATGCACAATCTTATTATATGTACCTATAGATATCGTGCCTAGGCAATTAATTGGCAATGGGTAGAATATTAACTATGTTATTGACCGATTATTAATAAGTTAAACGGTCGTTTTTTGAATCAATATCGTTAGCTGCACCTGGTTTAAGTGAAAAAAAAATATTGGCTACACCCGATGCATGTCAACTCATATAGACCGTCATATGAGATGAGTCTCGTGTAAGATTTATATATATGATCTAACGGCGGATGCGAGCTAGATCCATGTTGTCCGAGTACAACTTGCTGCTTGAACAGAATTTGGAACTGAGTGGAGGCATGTGCTCGTGGTGGGGAAGCATCGGGTTTACAGGAAGGTAGGAGAGTGGCCTTACGTACTGTACGGTCTCCGAGGGCTTAACTTACGTATTGGATGTATCATAGATGGGTGGTGGTGGTGGCCATGTTCCTCCTCTCTTTTGCCCCCCCTAAAAATGGAATAATTTGGTGAGATATCAGACCGGTCACCGACCACGTCTTGCCCCATTATCTTCAGGGTACGAAAAGGACATGGTACCTTATCATTGTACCGATCATAAGATTGCGAATGTATTGGTTACAAGACAAGATGGGGGATCAGCTCGCGCTGATGTGAAACTGTGGGACACTTTCTATCAAGATGATTAAATCACCCCTGATGCAAATTCTCCTAAAATTGCTCCTACTTTCTTTCGAGCTATTCCCTATGTGTGATCCAAACTCATTTACGTGACACTCCGATCAGATGCAACGGCAAATCCCCTTCATCACTTTACTCCTCCATAAAGTTCATTATTTTTACGGGACATTGATGCTAAAAAGATTAAGCCACCGATTCGTTTTTCGACTATTCACAACTCCAGGATCTTTCTTTATTACGATGCTATAAATCTCGGGATTGATATTTCTCTGTGAAGTATGTTGTGTCGCAACTCTAGTGTCCTGATCCAAGTGCCTTTCTAAGCTTGTGTATTTGCTCTGTGCAAATGGAGAGAAAAGGAGAAAATGAAAAAGTATTATATGCTTGCCGAATATGCAACACTACCAAGATGCGGTTCATTTCTTAATGGGACTGCTGAAAGAAGGCTATTTTTGTGAAGATATTGCAGATCTCCAATCCATGAACCATAAATTTTCAGACTAAGAAGAGAAAAATCTGGAGGCTGGTGAGATATGAGGTTGCTGGCTGCAGATTCAGTCAATGTAGTGTCTTACGTACAAGCTCTCATCCTCCAGCTTGGAATGTCTCCTCATGAGGAGGTAAGATCTTCATTTTTCCTTCTTTTCAAATGAGGGGTGTAAGATGTCATAAACGAATATATGCCCATATTACACATGATCATCAAACAAAGAGACGTGCCTGATAGATGAACTCGAGCTCACAACATAGTAGCATGGTCTCCATACCTCTCTAGACAGCCGGAGCAGGTATACGTAACACACTTGTGCATGAAATGGGTTGGAGATGGCAATTTTGAAGGAATAATTGTCCAAAAGGCACTAAACCTATCGAATGGGGGCCAATTTAGTTATAAACCTTTCGACTGTGCCAATTTAGTCTTAATCATTTTGACAATTTCTCAATTTAGTCCTAAACCTTTCAATAGTGCCAATTTAATACTAAACTTTTTTATAATTTCCCAATATAGTCATAAACCTATTATTTAGATATTTGACCAGAAGGACTACATCGGCAAATCGTTAAAAGGATTAGGACTATATTGACAAATCATCAAAAAGTTTACAAATCATCAAAAAGTTTAGTACTCAATTAGCACCACTAAAATGTTTAGGACTAAATTGGCAAATAATCTAAGGATTTATGACTAAATTGGCTTCTGTACAGTCGGTTTGAGACTTTTTGGATAATTTTCCCTAGTTTTGAACCGAATCTATTTTGCATGAGATTGCAGGAATCACGCTGATGCCATTTGGAGAGTCTTATAAGTTTCCTTCGGTGTGTTAAGGAAACTATATCCTATTTTAACTTGATAATAGTCTACAGGCAAAACCTTAAAATCAAATAATGACATGCTTTGATCCATTCATCGTGGATCTTTTGGATCATTCACTTGTTTGTCACTAGACATTATACTATGGATTTGGAGAGCATTCTGAGCATTAGTTAACAGATGAGACGAGCCATCTAAATTATGATTCCCTTATTTACCAACTCTTCAACCGGGAGACTTCACCTCTAATTTCCCCCTAAGACGCAAGAAATCAAATTCATGGGAGAACGAAGCAAAAACTTAAACTCTCTGTCAAGTTTCAAGCTTCTACTGACAGAGCTTTGTGTAGGTAATGACAAACTCAAGTATTCCCTATGTCACTAACAAGTTCGCTTCACATAAACATCATTGGTCGACGGGACAGGAACTTGATGTGATTTTTCAAATTCAAGAACCCAAGTTGAGTAAATGTAAAACAAAACAGCATTTCAAACGCTTGGGAACTCTATGCACGTGTCCTTTAGTATTTATTAAGGTAAAAAGAGGAGTGCCTTAACCTCTAGGTTAAGTATGCTTTTCCAGTACGAGTCACCAGCCAACATCTTCCTATATATCCCGGAACGAATCAAGGGCCATCCTAGTCGATTAGTCCTCCTTTCAGAAATATATGTAATGGCACCGGTCGTGCTACTTATCTTAGTAATACTACTTCTGGTGAATACTGGCTCCAGCATCCTCAATGCCACGTCCAAAGCAGCTAAACTATTCCCGGCAATCCTAATATTGGGGGACTCAACAGTAGACACCGGTAATAACAACTACATCGCGACTTTGTTCAAGGGCAACCACCTCCCTTATGGTCGCGACTTCCCTGGTCAAGTTCCCACGGGTAGATTTTCTAATGGAAAACTCGTTACTGATTTCATCGCTTCTGCGGCTGGTATCAAGGAGACAGTTCCTCCGTTTCTAGATCCTGACCTAGAGGACGGACAACTCTGCACTGGCGTTAGCTTCGCCTCGGGAGGATCTGGGTTTGATGATCTGACAACCGCGGTTTCTGGTGTAATCCCGATGTCAAAGCAACTTGAATACTTGAAGAAGTACATTCAGAGGCTTAGCAAGGTGGTAGGGGAAGAGGAGGCAAAGAAGATTTTAAGAGGAGCGTTGGTCATCATCAGTGCAGGAACCAATGACTTCATATTTAATTTCTATGATATTCCCACGAGGAGAATCCAGTTCAATATCAGCGAATACCAAGACTTTCTGCTGGGAAGACTACGAGAATTCATATTGGTGAGATGAGAAACTACCTTTCCCACAGCTATGATGTTTCTGTTGTAGTAGTAATTTCGGTCATGAATGAACTCATCTGACTGCTGAAAGTTTACTTACCCAGGAACTCTATGATCTCGGATGCCGTAAGATAGCAGTGGCGGGGCTTCCTCCAGTTGGTTGTTTGCCCATTCAAACGACCGCAAAATTCAAGAACCCTGAGGATCGAAAATGCATAGAAGATGAAAACCTAGATGCTCGAACCTACAATCACAAGCTAGCAAATCTTTTGCCTCAAATAAAATCAGTGCTTCCAAAAAGCAAGATTGCCTACGCGGATGTGTACAAACCAATGATTGACATGACCAATCATCCTCAGAAGTACGGTATGCCAAATAAAAGTTCTTATCTTTAGTCACATTACAATGCTCTCGTTTCTCCACTCTCTCCTCAGCTTTCAAAGGATACGTTTTAGTCATGGGCAATTATCTGTCCAATTGATGTTTTACTTGCTGAGATTATGGGTGACAGGATTCCTGGAAACAAAGAAAGGATGCTGTGGCACTGGATATGTAGAAGCAGGACCTCTGTGCAACGAACTCACACCAACATGTCCTAATTCATCGCAACACTTGTTCTGGGATAGCATCCATCCATGCGAGTCAGCGTACTACTACATCTCTCTGTTCATAGAGGAGCAAGTTCTTCCTCAATTATTCTTTGGCGACTCTACCAATGTATACTGAAGATCCATTGATCTATATGCCATTGTAAAAAGAAAAAAAAGGGAGCAGGTATTACACATGATTAGCAAATATTAAAGGAGTAAAGGAACCGTTCAAGATTCAACTTTATGAGGGTAGAGCCAGATCCTCGGATATAGTAAATAATACGATGTTGATCGATCCAATCTGTACAAGGCTAGATTGAGTAAGCGCCGGCTGTCAGCCAAGGGTATGAATCATTTCTTTACAGATACATTATGAACTAGCATTTGAGGATCAGTTACCAAGGCCAAATGAACGATCCATTCTCTTGAATGCTCCCATTTTTCTTCACGCCATTAACTCAAGATCAAAACTGGGAACTTAAATATCCAAGTATCAAAGGACAAATCAAATTTACAACTCCTCTAACAAATGTGAGTAACAGCCCTTGCAACAAAATAAATCCCTTCCTTAATCAGTACAGGGCGAGGAAACATAAAAACTTCATCCATTTTCTTTATTAGTTAAATATATGAATCTTGAGCGATTTTCCTAGAAGTGCAATGACCAAGATACAGTTAAAGAGTAAGAAAACCTGAAAGATTTGAATTTACAACTGCATAATTCAACTGCTCTCTCTCGCATATGCGCTCGTCTCCTCTGCAACCTTCCCCCAAACATTGGCAATTTTCTCAGCATACCCAACCTGTGAATTTGCGCAGGTAAAAAAGACATGATCCGACTAGAAAGCACTATGAACGAAAAAAACAGATATCTAGGTCAGGTAAACCGCATAAATTAGGCATAACGATTAATTTAGGCTGACATGTTATCTGGCATAGAACCTCCAACAATAGAATTATCAGATTGCGAATCTAAGAAAACCACAATCCAACAACTTTACTCCAAAATTGATCTCAGAAAGCCTAGTCTTTTGTTCATACCATCCAGTTTCTTCGATTCGGAAGCCTTTGGGGACAAATTTTTTTACCGTGGAGAAAATTTTCTTTTTTATACCCTAGACATAATCTAGGCATAGGTAGCCAAGGCAAAAACAAACAAACAAACAAATGAATGTGCATCACTTATTTTGACTATGTGAAAAAGACACTACATTAAAATTCACTTCCTATGAAAGGAGAACTTTGGCTCCAACTGCAATCTCTGTCAGTAGACCTCATGACCTGCCAACATTCTGGTCTGGGTCTCTATCCTGATTTTGTCTGTACATTACTTTGAGAACCTGAGATTAACCCTGCCTGCTATTTTAAGCCAGATAACTACCTATTCAGATCCAAATCCCACATAGTAGAGGCCCAGTTGATACAGGTAATGGCAACCTGTCCTGGCGATTGTGAATTCAAAAACCTGGGCTTGTGAGGCAAGCACAGAAACAGGTAAAAACTTGATAGGCACCCACTATCTACCATGACAGATGCATTGTCGCTGTAAGAGGCACTCAGCAGAGCCTCCTACAAGGCATACCTCTTCCTCAACCCCAAATTTAAACTTAGGGGCCATTATGGCATTATGACTCTTATTTTAGCCTGCACCTTCCTTTTAACCATCTGTTGCTTCAAAACTCAAAACTCCAATCAATCATGCCACTGGTAATTACCGAGTTGATGGAATATTGCATAAAACTGACTTTTTAACTTAGACTCCCTCTAAAGGTTGGCGGTGAAAGGCATTTCCAGATTCCTACTCCATCCATGCAGTGCAACTTCAGTAGTACTACCAAAAAAAATACCCCTTGAAATAATCTGCCTAGAATTATGTGGCATTTGACAAGAATGGATCTGCCTGACACTATTTCTAAAGGGTTATCAAGAATTACAGCCTACATGGAGATAAGATGCAGCTATAGAGTCGAAAAATGCTGTGCGATAGATCTTATGCAGTTGACAGCCCTCGACCAGGACATAAAAGTGATCGTCGAATTACCCAGCCAAACGCTGAGTATGTGCAGTACTCAAATCTGACCAGAAAATAGACGCTATCTTTGAATTCTATTGTACTTGGATAACACAGCCAGCGGTACTTAGGGTCATCTCTGCTTTGCTAGCATCCACAAACAGCAACCAGTGGCGGAGAAACAACAAAAAGAAGCCACATGCTAGACAATTGCAGTAATTCTTGCAGCAGCTGAGATCATCGCAGTAAACAGGAGGAGAAGAGACAATGTACCTGATTAACAACAAACCCCTTCAGCATATTCAAGAAGTCTGCATGCCTTTCCTTATCCAGCCGTTCAAGTTCAGTCCTGTTATTTTCCTGCAACAACACTGCCTCAGTTGAAGGTGAAAGTGCTAAAAACTAAAAATATACTAGTGCCTCTGCCTGTCAAGAAAATTTCGAAAACAACGCCGCATATCTTAAAATTCAACCTGACTCTACACAAACAAGTTTCTTAGGAGGTATTGAAGTGACCCTAACAGTCAACAGAAGCTTGAACCTCAGAAACAAAACCAGAAAATTCAGCAGCTCTTGAAATCAACCAGTGGAGTCTCAATACAATCACTGGAAGACAAGTGAATAACGATGCATGTTACCTTAATCCGCTCGTATTCTCTTATTGCAACATTCTTGGCATCCTCAGTGACTCTTATAGTTTCCCTCAATTCCTCCATCTTGCGTATTCTTGACTTGTCGCCACCAAATATCTTCGATGATGCAGCTTCCAGTTTTTCAGCTCTCGATTTAAACGAAGATAATTCTGATAAAAGAGTCTGCACTGTCAATAAAGCGCTAGTGCGATCTGAGAAGGCACCGTGTACTGCTAACATGAGACCCAAGTACTCGTGAAGGGTATCCTGCAATTCATATTGAGATAAAAGATCACCAAAAATCCAGGACATTAGTTGTAGTGTCCTTTTAGTGGGGAGTTCGACAAAAGGGATCAACCAGGGGAAATGAAATTTCCATGCTCGAGTTAAGCTTTACCTATGAACCTTCATAACATCATAGATAAACTCTCTCATAGCCTGACTGATATACTTAAAACAAGGAGGAGAACCTACCAAGTGCTTCACCGTATGCAAATTTAATTCCCGGTAAAATCTGCTAGCTTTAACCGCAGCAGTTGCCAAATTTTTCATATCAGCTGCCCGTGATCTCTGAGAATTGAACACGGCCTCCTCATTCTCAAACTTTGTCAGTTTAATAAACGCCAGCCCCAGTTCTCCCATTGTTTCCCCCATGTCTTGCTGAGCCTTAACTAATGATTCCGCCTAAGCACGTACACATAACATCAAGCAACCAAAGATCAGTTTGAGATACAGCCAATACTTGGCCAGGGGCGAAATTTCATTCTGGACATAAATGACAGCAAGAAATTACCTGCTGCGAGGCATTGCTTAGTTGTTGCTCCATATCATGCATCCTCTCCTTCTTCTCCAAAAACTCTTTATCCTCTTCAACCGCGGGGGGTTTGGAACCTCCCCAGTCATTGGCAACCGACTGCTTCAACTCCTTAAACAGCCTCAATAAGTCCCTCCCCCCTTTTGCCGGCTGCACGACCTCATGCGGAGCCACCACACTCTCACTGAGAAGCTGCTTTGGAAGCTTAACCGCACCATCGAGCATCCTCGAAGCAACATCCGTGCTCGTCGGCAAGGGAAGCTTCCCCTGCACCTGCAAAAACACCCTCAACTCATCGCTCTTCTTAATGATGGGATGAGCCGCCAATCTCCTCAGATACTTCTCCAGGGCCACCCTTCGCTGCTCCACAAACTCCTGTTTCTGCATCACCTGACTCTCCACCACGCTCTTATCGGGCCTCGGCGGTATAAAAAACCCTCGGTACGACTCGGCCAGCCTATCGGATAGGGTCACCACATCCCGAAACCGCCTGCGGACGCTGAACTCGGGGCCCCCAAACTCAGGTATGTTGGTTCTCGTCGTGACTAAGTAAGTGACATAGGTGTTACCCCCGGGCACGATGGAGTTGGTGACCTCCTGCTCCTTCTGGGGATTGGACACGGTAATCTTGATGTACTCGGTGCCAGAGGAAGAAGATCGGGAAAAGCTGACGGGACTATCGGAACTCGGGCTGGGGCTATCGACGCCGTTGATCTCGGAGGAGGAGTCCCCATCGAAGGGGCTGAAGATGACATCGGCGTAGGAAGGGGGCTCGATGTAGGAAGAGCTGTCGTGGGAGCTAGGGTTTCGGAGCTCGGGGTAGGAGGAGGAGGGCGGCGGCGGGGGGGCGAGCAGGGGATCGGAGTCGGCGGGGGTGGCGAGGATCGGAGGGGAGAGAGGGTGGTGGGAGTCGGGGAGGGAATTGGACATGGCGCTACGGTAGTCGGAGTTGGCGTAGGAGGATCTGGAGGGGTCGCCGAGGACGAGGGACTCCATCTCTTCTTTGGAGGCGTAGAGGCGGGCATCCTCGAAGCCCTGGTTCTCCGACCCCATCATCTTCGAATCCCGATCGGAGGAGGCTGGAATGGAGGGGGCCGAGCGCTGCCTCGCCGCCCTGATCTGGCAATGAGAGACGCGCCGGGGGGCGGTTCAGAGGAAGTGGAGTGAAAAGAAAGTCATGATGTCAGGGAAGTAAGCGGTGGTGGTGGTGGTGGGAAGGGGCTTAGCTTAGCTTAGGTGGGAGGCGACGACGGAGGAGGGGCAGCACGTGGCTATGACTGGGACTTTGGACATGGCGGAAGAAACCAAGTAAAACAGACGGCAAAAACAACGAAGATGATGCAGCAGAAGAAGAAGAAGAAGAAGAAGGAGAAAGAGGAGAGAGAGAGAGAGAGCCGTGAGTCGTGGGAAAGGAAACGGTGGGCAAATTTTCACCGGTCAGTCTCAGTCTGCTAACATCCGATAAATCACACGGGCCGGTTCGCTCTTTGCTTTGGTTTTTTTTTCACTCCATCCAGTCCGTTTCGAGTTTGGATAATGTGACTTGGAAGTGTGAACGTTTTTGGATTCATGCTTATATGCTAATTTTATCCTATATGGATTATGAGATAGTGTAACTAAAACCGATCATTTACTGTTATTAGCTTGAAAAACTATGATCGCTTCCTTTATTTCGAATCATTTGAATAAGCATATATTGTTATCGAGTCTGCGATTCTAATGCATTAAAATATAAGTGCTAATGTTCCTAAGTTATGAATAATGCGTGTACAATCGCTCTAAACATCTTTTATTGTTAAAGTACCCTAAGAAGATTGCTCATTGTTCCTTGGATCTATATTTTGAATTCCTGGATTGGACCACCTTAGTAATTTAATACCGAGATATATAAATTTAATTCAAAAATTAGGTGCATCCGAAATTCACAGTGCTGGGCGCTAAACCGGGTCATCCTATTCCGGGACCGGGATAGGAGTTGGGGACAAGGACGGACGATGGCAATGGGCACGGCCATCCAAACGCACGGACGGATACAACCTAAGGGTAACCGCGAAGTCACGTCAATGGGTTTTTGTTTTTCCGACGGAAAGAAAAAGAAAAGACAACTGAACAAACAGGGCATTCAAAATGGAAAAAAAAAAAATAAAACAAAAAATAAAAGTAAAGAAATAATCGGAAAAATTTGGATTTCTGGAGTGCGGACCGAAACCCTAGCCTAAACCCCTGCTGCTGCTGCTGCTGGCTGCTCAGCTCCATCGGTCAAATACCAGGTATAGTCGAAGGGGATCGATCATCCTCGAGCCGGTCCTCGTTGCGATAGCCATGGCCTCCAAGTTCGGCCTCGCCGGCGGGATACCGGAGCGGCGGGTCCGCCCGATATGGGACGCCATCGATTCTCGTCAATTCAAGAATGCTCTCAAGCTCGTCTCTTCGCTCCTCGGGAAGCACCCCAATTCTCCTTACGTCCTTGTAAGACCTCCCCCCCCCATCGAATCTCCCAATCACTCCTTTGTCCTTTTCTTCTTCTTTTCGAGTCTTCGTCTTTGCTTATCGAGCTATCCAGGATACATTTCGACTTTCTATTGCCCTGTGATGCTGAAACTGCACCTTTCCTTGTACTTCGGATCATCGATTCGGACTTGATCCTCTTTTAGCTGATTTATAATTATCTGTGTAAGGTTTGTAAGCTTAGAAAGTGCCCAGTTAATCAGCTGATTTTTAGCTGATTTATACTTCGGCTTACAAATATAGTTCGGTACACGGTGAAGCAATGTGGGAACTCCGGCAGCTCAGACGAGAGTGTCGTGACTGCCTCATGGATTCTCATTTCTTGTTGTGTTCTCTGTATCCGACGGAGTTGCTCTCGGTTTTGGGCGATTAACATGCGGCGCGTTTGTGCAGTCTCTTAAAGCTCTCGTTCTGGAAAGGATGGGAAAACCGGATGAATCTTTGTCTGTTTGCTTGAGCGCGAAAGAGCTGCTACATTCCAATGACTCCGCGCTGATGGATGATCTCACTCTCAGTACATTGCAAAATGTCTTCCAGCGGCTTGGTCACTGTCAGTATTTCAAACTTTCTACATGACTCGTGCCGTTAGAACTATACGATGCTTCCCGCGGTGCCTTACTTCTTTGTTATTCTATCAGCGGACCTGGCTACTAGCTGTTATGAACATGCTGCTGCAAAATTTCCAAATAATTTGGACCTTATGATGGGGCTTTTCAACTGCTATGTTCGCGAAAGCTCATTTGTGAAGCAACAACAGGTTTTTCTTTTCATTATTCTGAAATTTGCATTCTCGGATCACGCTATCTGCTTCTACATGCACTTACTGGCCAATCTTTACTTCTTCTATCCTGCCTTTTTACAGACAGCTATCAAAATGTACAAAATAGCCAGTGAAGAACGATTTTTGCTCTGGGCTGTTTGTAGCATCCAACTGCAGGTTTTGAATTTTCTCCTCCTCCTCTGTAGATAGTTACATATATCGATGAACATTAGTTGACTTTCCTGCAAAGATCACTTATCTAACGGGCGATATTATTTGCTTCTATTTCAAACCCCAAGTAAGATAAAGAAACAGGCTTGAGAAGGGGTACAAAAGCAAACGGTGGGCTTCAAATTTTGAAATTCCAATAGCTTGAACAAACTTTTGAAGACAAGGTCTGCTAGGCATGATTTGGTTGGAGGCATGGTGAATCAATAAAGTTCGCTTGCTTCTGAACATGACTGATCTTGTGATTTACTTTGAGTGTTTATAAATTTAAGGTGTTTGGAATATGACTCTTAGTCCACTATTGGCCATTTCTTCTCGTAGATGACTTGGACATTGGATGTTTTAAATCATTGAAAACTAAGTATTTGCATTCTTCTCCTTCATTGTCCTTGGATGGGAATGATATTGCTTCTTATGCATGTACCAATCTAACTTGGTTAGGGTTTACTGAGCAAGAATTATGGGCTCGGCAGGGCATCATTCATCTGCATAAGTTGACTTTTGAGGTTGTCACTCATAACCAATGGTGCTTTGGCTCATGTATAATTTCTCTGTCAATGTTGGGAAGAGCTCGACAACATATATATGTACATGCAGTAGTTAGGTTTCCATTGCCAAAAACTTACAATAAGTGGCCGTACTACTGTTTTGGGAACTTTGTGCGTAAAAAGAACTCTATAACACTGAAATAGATGCAAACTCATCTCCTTATCTGGATTTGACTATGAAAGCCAATACGGAAAAAGAGTTCTAAGATGTACTTGCTTTTTAAGGATCTCTGAAGATTCCCTTTCTTGAAACGAGCATCTTTAGATGGCTGTAAACGTGGGTTTAGGATAATTCTTATCTTTCTGAATGTATACCGAGGACCTCTTCATACAGGTTCTTTGCGGCAATGGCGGAGACAAGCTGTTGCTGTTAGCAGAGGGCTTGCTTAAGAAGCATGTTGCTACCCATAGCTTGCATGAACCTGAAGGTATTTCTTATGGGTTTGGGAAATTATCCGCTATACCTTGAATATGTATTTGCTTCCCTAATACTAACTTTAATCTCATGGCAGCTCTTTTGGTCTACATCTCTTTGTTGGAACAGCAAGATAAGTATGGTCATGCTCTTGAAATTCTATCAGGAAATTTGGGATCACTTCTGATGGTTGAAGTTGATAAGCTACGTATACAGGTACTCTAGACAGCTCTCTGACCTCCTGAACTTCCCTCTTGTAGACCTATATATAGTACAAGGCTATAATATTGATGAAATGTACTAAATGACTCTTAAAAGAGTAAAAGGAGAAAAACCTTGCATCATTGACTTAGAGGTAGAAGTGGCTCCAGGATTATGAGAATGATAAGAAATTGAACCCCCACCGCCCCTCCACTTTATTGTTTCCAAAAATGTTCTTCTATGCAACTGTTCTCTGAAATTAGTTCTATTCAACTTTTCTCGATTCATCATGTAAACTTTGGAATTTTTTTAAGAGGCTTGACTATGGTTTTATTTACATGTAAAGCTGCTTTTTGCTGGGTTTATTTCTTTTCTTTTTTTCCCCAGAATCTTTCTTTTGATCACTTTCCTTTTTGAGAGCTGGAGCACAGAGAGAATAGAGGGGAAAGAGGAAAGATTTAAATCTCTTGAAATCATATCTATGTGAATTGATGCTTTGAAGGAGGTCTTTCACCGTGTTTGTAGAACTTGCTAACATCAATTGAGCTTGCCACCCATGTGTTATTCATTTGCCTTCTTATCATCTTGCACTGTCTTTAAGTTGACAGGGGAGACTTCTTGCTCGGACAGGTGACTATAAAGCTGCGGCCGATGTGTATGAGAAGATCTTAGAGTCATGGTATGATGTGAAGCAATATCAATTTCAAAACAAGTTAAATTGTCACGTCCCAGTAAATTCAGCTTTGCGGTTTTCTATCTACAAGCGAGAAGGGAAAGCCTCTGTGGCTGTGTACATGCATATATTGAGAGTGGTTTTATGTGCTTGTAGTGATAAAATCCTTGCGTGCAGACTTTAATGTATTCTTTGAGTCTGTAAGATTTTTTCTTCCATTTTCTTGAAGGTTGTTCTTTTTGTTTGGCCCAGTTTGACCTAGCAACAATGTGTTATTCTTTTTCATCCTCAAGTTCTGCAAATGACTGAAAGACCGTTTCTGAACTTTAAGTTGTGGTCTGTCATATCATAGTTGTTATAATGTGTAAATCTGAATGGATCTTTACTAATTTAGGTGCAGTTAAATACTTCTTTTACTCTGCTTCTTCTATCGTCTGGCTTTTCACCTAGATTTTCTTAACTAAATTTTGGAAGCCCATAATACCATCTATTTCTTTTCCTCATATCAGAAAAGCTTGCCTACATGACAATGTAGATAGTTGTTAATGGCTTTAACTGAAGCCTGGTCCGCTAGCATTTTTAACTGAAGTTCTTGTTTCGTTTATTTAAAAATCACTGTGAAAGTAATTGTCTCGTGTTTAAGGGGAAATCATTCTCATTAGCAAGCTATCCTCCTTACATATACTTATAGCCTTTAATCTTGTTTGTATATTCTGGCAGCCCTGATGACTGGGAATGTCTACAACATTATCTAGACTGTTTGCTGGAGGATGGCCCAACCTGGGGCAATGAGCCCATCAAAAATAGGATTGATGCTATTAAATTTGCAGACTGCAGATTATCTCCCTTGACAGATGAAGTGGTACTTGCTCACTCCGCTTAATAATGATTTATTACTGTTATTATTCTTATTGTTGTTGGTGTTGTTAAATTGCGAACTTCAACTAGTGTTCATGCATCAAATGATGCAACTTGGATTCGCAGTTTAATTCTCGTATTACAAGAGCGTCAACTTTTGTGCATAAGTTGCAAGAGAACCTTGGAAATGATATTGTAAGATGTCCATACCTTGCCAATCTGGAGATTGAACAA